TTTTTTTTTTTTTTTTTTTTTTTTTTTTTTCGATTTTGACCGGTGTCTATTCTGGGGAGCATCAGTCGGGTGACTTTGACACCGGCAAGTCGTAACAATTACCCCACTCTTAAACGCTTCCCCACGTCACCGGCAAGTCAATCCTGACATCGTTCATTGCTTCCTCTCGGAAGAATTGATCGACTCCCAGTGCACCCACACTTTTCCCTTTTCCAGCATACCAGTTGCGTCCCCCACCGTCTGTCTCACTGCCCTTCCTTTAATCAACATGCCAATGATGCCATAGGATTAGACCAAGGAAAAGGAGGTGTGAATTCTGCCGTGCTACTGGCGACAATCATTAGTACAGTAGTACTTCTCCACAACGGGGCTAACAATGTGAAGTTTCTTGGACAGATCGATGAACATTCATAGGTGTGTGTAACATTCAGCCTGACCTGACGATTTAGTGAGCTCATGTGTGTCTGTTGATGCCTTTTGTTGATGACAGATATGCCGCAGGTTTACTCGTTGCTTACTTGGCATTCATACCCTTCTGTGAAGTAGGGAGCATCGATGGGCCAGCATTGCAGGTACGACTCGAAACAAAATTCCTCCGTGTCTGATTGTTGAGCTAACTGTCTCTCCAAACAGTCGTGTGTGTGGAACCTGTCTCCAAACACCGCGTCCTCGGTTTCACAAACGGTCTTCCGTAAGGGAGCAGTCTCCGAACGGTCTTCCGTTTGGGTCCTTGGGAGCTGTCTCCAAAGGCCAATTAGCATGGCCCCTGCGCAAGGATGACATGCATAAATTGAGAAATGGTCCAAAAAAAAATAAAAAAAATAAAAAAAATCTCTTCCGTTAGAGAGCTGTCGTCTCCGAACGGCTTTCTTTTGCGACTTCTCTGTGAGACGCTCATGCTTTGTTCGAGTCATTCCTGAGAGTAGTAAGTACGATGGAAATTGACTTAATTGACCCTTCTTTCTCTGGTTTGACCTTGGGCTGAGCTCATTTATGTTAAGTGACCCTTCTTTCTCTGGTTCAAACTTGGGGTTAAGCTCATTTATGTGATCTTTGTGGTCTGGGGTTACATTCCTCTGTGCTATTCCTATGTAGAGGGTGCCTTTCTGTTGGCTATGAACTCAGATCTTAACCTCTGCTCTCCTAAACCTCCTCCTCCTCCCCCTCCTCCTCCTCGTTTTACCGTTTCTTTTTTTTTTTCTTTTTTTTCTTTTTTTGTAAATAAGCTTGGATGATTTTTCAATTGGTGCACATCATGCCTGCCCAGGGGCCATTCTAGTCGTGACTGTGCCGATCCATTGTTTTGATGGGTGTCCAAAGGGATGTGATGTTCTGAAGTACAGGTACTAAAATCTTTCCTCCTGTCACTAAACCACCAGCGCACCCGGGCCTGGAGGCACTTTACTGCACTCCAAGCTTCTCTGAACCATCAGCGGCACACTTTTTGTGCCCGGTGCCGCCAGCCATTGTGGTCCGGTAGGCTGAGCCATTGCTACAGTGCGGTGGGGACGAGTTGCTTTCTCTGCAACGCTGGGGCCGTGTACTGGCGGTTTAAAGCGCCAAAAGGTTCCTCTGTATCATTGTGGTCCGGTAGGCTGAGCCATTGCTACAGTGCGGTGGGGACGAGTTGCTTTTTCTGCAACACTGAGGCTGTGTACTGGCGGTTTTAAAGAGCCAAAATATTCCTCTGTACGCTCTCCGTTTCAAGAGGAGCTTGAGGTTGCCTGGATTTCAGGCGGCTTGTTAGACCCGTGAGTCGTGACACAAATGCCACAGGTTTTTCTGAACGGCTCCGAGGGCCGGGGCAACTTCCTTCAGAGGTAAAATGGTGGTGGTGTGTAGCATAGAGCTTAGTTTCCTTTCCCAGGTTGTGAAGGAGCCTATTGCAGAGGCGGTGGTGGTCTGAGGGGTAGGACTTAAATCACTAGTATACGGCCCCAGCCTTGCAGTCCGAAACTTGTCCCCACAAGCAAACGAGGCCGAAACATCAAATGCTGGGCCTGCCGTTGATAAATTGGATCAGCGGTGGCATTTTCGTTTCGCGCTTCCAGAATTTGAGATGTCAGTGCTGCGGCCCAGGTGACCATGTACTGGTGCGTTAAATTCCTTGCCGTCCATGTTCAGAAGGAACCTGTAACAGAACCAAGCATGGATCAGATCTCCCTATTGTGTCTGATCTTAAGATGACAAGCACCAATGGAGAAATCGTTGTGTACGGCAACAACCGAGAGCCACAAAGCATTCACCTCCTTATTGTGTCTTTTGAGTTAGTGAGTATTGCGTCTTTGAGTTAGCGAGGAATGTGTCTCTGAGCTAGTATTTCAGGTCCTGTGGGCTGGTCTCAAACCACCAGTACACCTGGGCTTGGAGGTGCTACCACCGTGCATCTACATTATGCGCCAAGCTTTTCCAAACGGCCAGCAGCGTACTTTTTTTCTTTTTTGGCTGGCGCCTCCAGCCCACCTATATTTTCTGCTGCACATACTAGACAATGGCATCTGTATCAAATCAAGTTTTTTTTTTTTGTGTGTGTGAGCAAGTGCACGTGTGGATATACACACACACAGACACAGACACACACATGCACAAACAGAGAAGAGAGAGTGAGAGAGACAGAGAGACAGAGGGACAAAGAGACGCACAGAAGAGAGGGGAGAGGGAGGGAGGTAGGGAGGGATGGAGGGACAGACCGAGGGAGGGAGGGAGGGGGGGAGAGAGGGAGGGAGGGAGGGAGAGACGGAGGGAGGGAGGGAGGGAGGGAGGGAGGGAGGATCGTTTCAACAACATAGCCCGAACTGATAGGTGTTTTTCGCCGCACCACCACAAGCAATGTTGTCAAAAATTTCGCAAACAAACAATGCAGGCTCATAATACAAACATCAAAAAAAAAAAACAGGCAAAAAAAAACGAAAAAAAAAAAACTAAAAAACACTATAAAAGTTAATAAAACCCTATTCGGAGTAGCTTTCGGAGTTCGCCAATTTTTTTTCCGAATTTGGTGTTTTTGCCAACTTTTTTGTTAGTGGTCCGAATGCATCGAAACTGAATACAGATATAGTGTAGATGGAAACACTCACACGTGACATGCAGAGCACACGTAACACGCAGAGTAAGCCAATAACTAGTCAACGACACAAGGATCATGGACGAGCTATTTGACAGCGTACAATTCATTAGGAAATTACAGTACAGCTTATCAGTCCACACACCCAGGAACCACCGAACGTTCCACTGATCCCAATGCCCGTAGTCCGCTAACGCTATTAGGGATCGCGGATCACGGGCAAACCGCAAGAGGACTAACTCATCGGGTGTTGCGTCAACTTCAAAACAAACACGCTTCCCCTAGAAGCCCTCACAGTTCCAAAAGATGATCCAGCCCTGGTGTCGGTTCGTCCCGGTACCAGGCTAGTAACTTCCGCCCCAAAACTACCACTAGTGCTAGTACGGCCCTTCTGGCCAAGCATGTTCAGTACAATCCCTGTACCAACTGTGAGAAAGTCCCCTTGCTCTTAAAAGACTACCCTGTCCGAGCATCCACACCAGTGCTGGAAACACTGCCAATACCTCCTAAGCACCATACAGACAACCCTGTCCAAGCATCCACAGCAGGCTCATGTTAACATCATCATCGTCTGTTTCCAAATCTTGTCCTTGCGAAACGCAAATCTACGCAGTACTTTCTTGAAGAAGTCCATGGGGAAGTCTTTAAGCCTTAGCTCACGCATCAGCAAAAGTGCCCTTCCGGGGATTTCACTTCGAATGGAAGTATTTTGCTCAATCCGATACAGATAGCTGCTAACAGTAGCTCTTTTTTGCTGCTTGCTTCCCCACGACAAGAAAGATTGCCCATTTTGAAATTCCAATGCCCCAGTCGTCCAGATGCTTCGTTCATTTCGGGATGACTGAATACATCCCAGGTAAGGATAGGAGTTCTCACATCGGACCTCACATCCCAGAAAGTCCAAGGTACCAGATCCGTCATCTGTTCGCTTAAGACACAAGTTCCTTGGATAGCACTCTGAGAAACGCTGACCCATGTCAACACCTCACCTGACAAAGTAGCTGTCACTAAAATTACATCGTCCATGAGTCGTACTCCTAAGACTTGTCGGGCATATTTTCCCAGGTCCCTCAAGAACATTGTCCCAGCATAGGCGCAGAATACACAGGCCAGTGGGGGCTTGTTGCCTTGCCCATCGGAATCCCCAAATCCTACCTCAGTATAATCCCTGTAGCATATGTGTGGGTGTGCATCAGTTCTATGCGCACAAAGGACATCAGGTCCCCAAATTCCAGCCTACGGCAATGGTCAGCCCCGGTGGTCCTTCCAAACGAACAACCTTTCCCCCTGGTGTTGGTTCACACAAAGTATCGTCCTTTCCTATAATGGAAATCCAGGAGCCATTCCACTGCTCTCAGAATGTCGGGGTGCGGCAAGCGACTGAACATATCCTTGATATCAAAGGATTGTGCCGCTATATCAGAAGGTCGTCCAAGACGACGCACCCATGAGTTAATCTGTGCAAGCCTTGTTGTCAGTTGTGACACAGCCGACAAATTAAAGTGGCAATCCCGAGGTAGCTTAGATAACATGAAATTCAAACTTTTTGCCACCGCCCGACCACTGCGGACCATAGGTTCCACAAAAGTAGGACAGATAGGGCGATATCGGGTCAAATCCTTATGTTTTGGAATTATATAGGCGTTCCCAATATGTCCCTTACCATCCCATCTTGCAAACTTCCTGAGACCAGCTGTACCTACATCCTCCCGAATTTCCCTCAGCACTTCATTCTCATGGGAGTGGGAGAATGGGAGTCGATGATGGGACTGAATAATCTTGTATCCGGAATTCAGAACAAAGGTCTGCATCATTCCCTCGTAATAAATCTTAGGACACATAACAACAGTCTCCCCAGGATTTCGATCGAGGGGGGTCAACACAAGACCATCAAATTTCTCCTTAGTTGCTAAGACCACATCCAATGTAAGGACTGCAAACTGGTACTCCCCACAACTCACTGTACAGTTAGATAACGTGTCATCAGTGATTGGTGGTAACTGCCCACAAAAAATTCTCCAACTATGAAAGCCATCCTGAATCTCAAACTTCAGACTTTTCAAACGATCAGCAACATGCACCTTAGGAATATTGTTAGCGTTTGCCAACATAGGGTGATCAACCGCATCCCTATTCATGCGAAAATGCACATGCCCATCCACTCTGGGATAGGGTAGCCCTGCACACTGGCAGGTCAGCACTTTCCGGGCTGTGAAAGCTCGGTGATTGTGCAGCAATTCGCCCACCGTCCGGTTCTTATTCCAAACGCTACGAATCTTCTCAAGTGCACGCCGCAAAAAACAGGTAGGTAGGTCACAACCCATAACCAACTCGTTAACAATCTTACGAAGTGCACAAAATCTTAACCTATCATCATACTTTACTTTAATAAGCAAATCCGCACTGAGGCTGAGGTCAAACTTCTCCAAAAACACACGTGAGATTAATCTACGGAGGTATTTCCTGGTTGACTTCCGTGTGAAATCCTTCACTGCACGGTAGAGACGTAGGATCGAACGCATACCCCACTGGAAAATCTGGGACAATTCCTTAGGTTTCTTTAGCAGCGATATCAATACTTTTTTCAGATGGCCACCCTGCAGCTTCCATATCCGCAGGTGATCTATCATAAGAGACCCTCGTCTTTCAATCTTCGCCTTGCATTCTCTCAACTGCAGATTATCCTTACCAAAGGATACCTTAGATGACCCGAACGTCCTAGCAATATTCTTCCACGGTGTGTACCAGAGGTTACCTCCGCTCGTGAATACCTCAAAACAGCGGGAGCCTAACTCATCCTGCTCTTTGAATATCTCAAACAGATTCAAGCGCCATTCATCCTCCTCATGCAGTCTAAATCTCAGCGGTGCAATCACACGGCAATTTCCTGACATATGTTCCCCAGTCCTGGCTCGCTCATCCTTCCCCTTACTACCCTTACTGCCAGTACTCCTACCTGACTTCTTGACACCTGATGTATTCAAGTACGGAGACCACTGCCGTATATAAATGCTTTCCAGTTTTGTCAGTTCGTTCTTAGCAACCGAATCTACCGGAATCAGCACATAATTCCCTATCCCATAGGAACTCAGCCACCTATAGAAGTGATTTGGTTTACATGTACGACATGCATACAGGTGCTCCCGCCACCGAACAGCAGGATGCCTAGATGTTTTTCCCACATACTGAGACTTGCAATAAGGAGACACTGCTACGTATACACAGTCTGTGATATTGACAAAATCAGTCCCAAATTTATCATATATTCGTAGCCAGGCTTCCACGCATTTACGGGTCCACCGGAACACTCCAGAAAAGGATAAGTGTATTAAGCGAACTATTACAAGTCTTAGAAGTTCTTCAACCCCAGCGTGCACACATTTACTCGTCTCCCTCCACTTCGTAAGAACACCAACAATCTTCCAAATGTCAGCAATGCTGAAGCCACATCACTCTGCTTCCGGTTTGTCTTCCCTTTCTGCCGTGCCCGCTTCTTCGGCTTCGTGGGAAGATCCCACCTCGTCGCCCTCGTCAGTACCATATGCTATCTTCGTACGGTGTGTGGCTATGTCGAAGATGGCCTCGAACTTACCGTTGTATGGAATGCCTTTGTCCCTGCACACATTTTGCAGAACCAGCGCGTCCAAGTTGAACAAGTCCTGCATGACCTGCTTCTCGAACTTCAGTCTTCCAACAATTCCGATGGATGCTGGAATCTTCTTCTTCCGTATCGACGCAGGTGTCTTTTTCGGTGTAGGGGTCTTTGCCTTAGTCCTGGTCTTCGAGCGTGTGAGTCGAGAAGTAAGATTCACCGGCTTGCCGTTCTTCCTAGGAGTGCGCTTAGGAGGCAGTTCCATTGGGGGGCCGTCCTCAAAAACTGGTTCTTCCCCCCGTTTCCTCTTCTCTGTGATGCACAAATTACGGGTCCGAGCACTCAGCTCCTCTGTCTCACTGCTGCTGGCGCTGCTCTCGGATCCCGATATCGGCCGTTGCACAACCTGCTGCTTCCCTCGCTTCATAAGCTCACTAATCGCCTCCTGAATCTCCTGCCTAAAGTCCTCGCGCACATCTTCTCTCAGCTCCCCGACACGTACGGCCACCTTGATGTCCATATTTTTATTGATCTCCTCCATCCGCTCCGCTTCCTTCCTGGCTTTATCGTCCTTCTTCTTCCTCGGCATTCAAGCGTTCCGCCTCCGCTCTCTCGTCAGCTTCTTTCCTCTCCATCTTCCTACGCTCCTTGGCGGCTTTCTTCTGCTGCTCATTCTCCACGTACTGGCAAACTGCTGCCACACTTTTCCCAATCTCCGCTACTTTTGAGTGAATAGGATCGCTCGGCGAAGTGCGCCGAGGCTAACGTCGCGGCGATGCCGATCTCCCCAGTCGGGAGTCAGAAGATGACGATGGTCTAGCACTTGCTTGTCTGCGTGGGTATGGACATTGATTAGCGTAATGCCCAGGCTCCTCGCAGTTAAAGCACATAGGCGGCCCCCGTCTCCTGCAACCATAACCGCCTCTGTCCCCTGAGTACTCACGCTGTTCACTCCCATATCCCCTCTGATCCCCATATCCATAGTCACGTTGGTCCCCGTGGGACCCCATACGCCGTCACTCGGAGACTTCTTAAGAGCACAAATACCAAACACGCCGGTACAGTCCCTGAGTCGTAATCGTGGTGACAACCATGCTCCGTAAGCGTCCGAAGCAACCTGAGTCACCTTGCAGCCTTGTAACCTTGTAACCTAGTAGCCGAGTGAAATTTAAACGTGCTCACTTATCACGGTGCGAAGACTCCAAGATAGTTCACACGTGCCTTACACAGTGTAGATGGAAACACTCACAACACGCAGAGTAAGCCAATAACTAGTCAACGACACAAGGATCATGGACGAGCTATTTGACAAAGTACAGATATACCCTAAAGCACATACAAAGCACACAAAAAACAAACAACAAAAAAAACACCAATTCGGGGAAATATGGCAGTTTCGGCGAAAAATTCGCTGAAAATTACACCACCTATTAACCATATGTGGAGAAAGAAGAAAAACTCGCCCAGGTACTGCAACTAAAGAGATAATGTGTAAAAACCCAACACTTGAATCGTGTTTTCTTTTTTTCATTTGATAATTCCCTGTTGGAGGGAAGGGTGCGCTGCGGTGCTCTCTGCTGTAGTGTGTGCAGAGGCAACGCTAAGAGGGGTTAAGCCAGCAAGCTTACCCGTGTGATCATTCCGTGACCCCGGAGAATTAGATTAATCATTAATGTCATGTGTGGCCCAACGGACCACAGATCAGATATTAAGCTGATGAGAACATACACTATACAAGATCCAAAACTTGAAGATTTTTTTTTTTTTTTGAGGGAGGGCAAGAACAACTGCAGTGAAGGGATGCCCCATCTCGCCACTGATGGTGTTCCTTCCTATTGTTGGGGATCCATATGAAACCACAGGTCTCCCCACAGCTATACATAGCTATACAAGCTGAAGAGGGCCAAAGCTCTAGGTGTTATAGGAATGGTGCTGGTTCTCCCCAGCTATGGCTGTCCTATGGATGGTCATGAGCATCTCTCCTGCTTTTCACATCAGAGAGGAAGCGTGTAGATCGACAGGATGCGACCGCCACCCTGGGGGGGCCGTTACACTGGTATCAGAGCCGGAACGTTCTCGGCCCCCACCCATCTCGTCCTGCAACCACCAAAAAAGCGCCCTGCAGGCGCCTAATCCCGAACAGCGGGATTTGAATCCTTTTTGGAACGCGTAATAGGAAAAACCACGGAAAAACAGCACCAGCCGGAGACAGGAAAACACAGCACACGTGACAAAAAAAAAAAAAAAAAAAAAAAAAAAAAAAAAAGGCCGGAGACAGGAAAACACAGCAAGGTTGGGTCTGTGCCGGCCTAGCTCAGTTGGAAGGCCCATGAGCTGTTCGAACTTCAAATGCAGACCTCAGTTCCAAATTCGAATCCTTGTCAACTCCGGTGAATAAATAACTCTGAATTTACCTGGGGCCAATCAGTTTTAAGTTTTAACTTTTAACTTTTAACTTTTAAGTTTTAACCTTGAAGGTGCCAATCAGTTTTAACTTTTAACTTTTAACCTTGAAGTCTGGTCAAAGATGATATCTCAAGGCCATCGCCATTTCAAAAACAGAGGATGGGTCTGCGCAAGTTATTGAAGCTAAACTTCTGCTAAAGTTTTGATGTTCTCTGTCTGTTCTATTGTTCGTTGAATTTGCTGCCCCCTCCTTTTTTTTTTTGCAGAAGCTCCTAGAGAGAACATTTCGACTGGATATTGCTGCTGCGAGAGAGTAACGCTTAGCCCTAATAGCCCCTCTACTCATTCCATTTTTCGTGTTCGGGTTTTGGAATGCTTCTCCTTGCTCTTCTGAATCTACTTCCTTCCATGTGTGCTGACAGTTTGCACCTTTCTTTTTGTCGTCAAACTTCTCGCGGTTTCTTGTTTCCCCGTTGAACGACTTTTTCTTTTCCTTAAAAAAAAAATAATAATAATAAATAAATTTATAAAATCAATTACATCGTTAGTATTTGTTACAGAAGAAGAACCAAAAGTTTTTTTTTTTTTTTTCAGTCCTCAGAATCTCACACTGTGATCTACAAAGTCAGTCTTTTTCCCTTTCTTAATATAATAAAATTCAAATTGCAGGGCGTTTAAATGGTGCTGAAATTGCCCGCAGCGAGTGGATACAAAAAGGTAGATTGCCTCTTCAAATGCTGAGAGCTAATAGTGCTGGCCCCTGGGCAATCGGGAGTGGCTCTGTCTGCGCAGGTACCAAATTACCAAATGGGCTGGCCTGACTGGACGAGGTCGAAACAGGCTCCCAGGCAGTCCTAGCGCAATATATTTTTGTATGGGAAAAAAAAGCAAGGTTCTCCAGAAAAAGCTTAGAAAAGTTAAGAAAAGTTAAAAAAACACAGGTTTTGTAAAATTGCAATGCAAAGTTACAAATAAGCTATAGCCTATACGGCTGAGAGTTGCCTTGACATTCTTAAGGTTCTGGCTGCTTTTCCATTCTGAGGAGGAGCGTCAGTCCGGTTCCTATTTTCCAGCGGCAAGTCAGACCTAATCACAACTAGTACTCACACACGCTCCTCCCCCTTTTATGGTAGGAAGGCCTGAAGGACGGCATTGATTACGTCCTGAAGGAAGGATGTGCCACCCCTCACCCCTGCCTTAGTTACTAGTTAGGCCTTGTCTACTATGCTTCCCGTCTTTTGGTTGCCAGTCTGGCTTCCCGGATGCTTGGTACCTGTAGCCTGCCCATTTGTACACTGTCCAGCCTGTTCCTCTCTCAGTCCTTGGCTGTCATAACTTCCTCACTTGCTACCGTCTTCACCCGAATAGGCCGCCCGCCGCCCGGTCATTATCGCTGCATCTGGACCGAAAGTGGTGCCAAGTACAGCTATAATGATTGGGCATTCTATTCGTTTGAAGGAGGTAGAACTGCTGATTCGGTCTTTTATCATAGTCCTTGTTAAGGCCCCGGACCCTACCAGCCCCTGGAAGCTTCGAGCCTTGCTAATAAAGCCCTAAACCCTAGCCCGATTTCAATCCCTTTCCTTAAACCCTAAACCCTAGGAGGTCAGCATTCTACCCCCAGCCTCAGAACTTGGTCCTTCTTTTTACTAGTGGTGTATATGGTTTCCCTCTATTTGCGTTTCCTGCCTAGCTCCGTCACAGAGGAGCCTCTCCTATACTCTTTCTTCCCCCACGGGTCTCCTACGCATTCTCAACTGTTTTCTTTTGCGGACTTTACACGCTAAACTCTCACCCCCCTTTCTGATTCTAAGACCGTGCTCAGTTATACTAAACGTTTTCCCCGTATCACGCTAGGTCCCTCAGAATATCACCATCCTGTCCTACCCTTGGACTGACTGACTGGATCCCACCAGTCCCTGAAGTGAAGGGCTCTTCCGGTTATGTTTGCCATTGGTCCCCCCCCTTCAGCCACTTCTCCTCAAATTCTTTCTGTATTTTGGTCCTCCTCTGTTCCTCAACTTCTTTATCCATCTTCCCCGAGGGCTCGTTTCCATTCTACTCTCCTCCTGATTCTACCATTTCTCTCGCTTCCTCCCACGGTTCATTTGTCGTTATCTTCTTTTTACCTATCGTGCCCCCGCGCCGGCCTCCTCAGATTACCCACAGGGTTGTTCTCCGCAGTAGCTCTATAATCTCCCTATCCTCCTCAGAGACTCAGCCTTTGCGGTCTATTGCTGTCAACAGGAAGAATTGCTCTGTCCGGAATTCATTAGGAGATAGACCGGACCAGGCTTTTTTCCACTTGGTCCAGAGGGCTTTGGCGTGTTCGCAGTCCAGTAGGCAGTGCGTTAGTGTTCCTGTTTCCTGTTCCTGGAATATTTGGCAATGTGCTGAAGATTGAAGGATTCCGGTCTAACCTCCTCTCTCCGCCTTGAAATCTAAACCAAGCATTGACAGGGACTGCCAGGTAGATTATCAGCCATTGCCGACTTCTTACTCATTGAGGCCTGATCGATGATGCCTAGTAAGACCATGGGATCAATTTGCAAGTTATTTTCCCACCTTGCTGCTATGACCAGGTGAGTTTTTTTTTAACGTGCCCCTTATCTTATAGACTTATACAGTTAAGTTAAGTTATAGTTTAAGTTATACCCCTTTTTCACTGTGTATTCGTGCAACGCAATAAATTTATTGGCTCTACCCGACCCTCTGTTCTCGTACCAGCCCCACTCATTGGGGTCGATTTCTAGCTCTGTCTAAACAACAAGGCAGGTGGGAGTTTCTATCCTATTTCGTCCTTGCTTTTGTCTCCTTTGCTCATTTTTAAGTTCCCTGACTTTCCGTAGGTCTTGTACGTTGAAACTTGAAATCCAGTTTAATTTAGCGTGTCCTTTCTGACTACCACTATTGTTTTGTCCGTGTTTTTTTTTCCAATGCGCGGGCTTCAAAGTTAGCTATACATCTATCAGCTCCCACGTAGCATATAAAGTGAAGGGCCTCTGAGGGAGTGTCTTGGACTTTCGATGTTGCCCAATCCCCCTCTTCCCAGACTCTGTTTTGCTTATTAACATTGACCTCCAGGCGATTGCAATGCTGTGTATCAGCTCGTCTAAGTTCTTCTGCAAATTATGATGGCTTTTTAATTTTTTCCTAGGGTCCCCTTCCGATTTCCGCTTACTGTTTTGTTCATCCCATATATGTGCTCTATCTTCCATATCCAGTTTATATGTGCTCTATCTTCCGATTTCCCTTGCAAAGTGTGATGCCTTTTGTCAACCCAGGTTGTCCACCTCCTGCCTCCTCTCCCATTGAGAGACCATGCCATGTCTGTCCGATTTCCGTTTTGGTCTTTCAAATTTCAATAGATCATTCCCAAAACTTTGGGGTTGTATCGGAATTTCCTCCTTTGTGTTTGGGCCCCTTTTCAATTGTGGGAAGGCTTCCCTCCATGCTGCAATTAGTTTTGCCCAGTGGCCACTTGGGGGGGGGTCGGTGTTCGGTAGACGGCCTCTCTGCCTCGGTCTGTTTCCTTCTCTTCTGGGTGTCCAGCATCTGTTCATGAGCCATGTAATGTATGGCCCTCTATACTGTCATGTGCTGTGAATAGTAGGTAGCAAATTCCTTATTTGCTATATAGAGCCATTTCCTGCCATGGCAGGGTGCCTTGACATTCTAATTTTTAAGATAAAAACTGAATAGAGAAAAAGACTTGTGTTACGGTATACCTCTTTAAAGTTTAAACCCTGTTTATACCCCCCTGGGTGACCCATCACTGAATTAGAAGGTTAAGACTGGATTATAACTGCTCAGGCCATGCGCAAGTATGACCTGAAGTCAGATTTTTATATTTTTTTGTTCCCTTGCCCCTGTTTTTGAGCCACCTGGTTTTCTGAGGCGAGTTCCCTCCTTCCTGCCGGCCCGCCTTGCCAACAATGCTTCTTTGTTTGTTTGTTTCTTTCTTTCTTTCTTTCTTTTTTTCTCTCTTTCTCTCTTTCTTTTTCTTAAAAAAAAGAAAAAAGAAATAGCATGCTTTATTGTATATGGAGCGAAAGGAGGCCGGGAATCCGTCCACATCTCAACCCGGAAGACTGGGGCCATTACCCAGATTTGGCTCTTACTAGAACTCGGGTCCAGTGCCCCTTTCTCTTATGAAGCTTCATGCTATTCCTGAACAAAGACTAAAACTGGATTAACAAAGGATGAAATAGCAAAAGATGAAAGAACCTGCCTAATATCTCTCCGCCCATCCTCATCTTAAGCCCTAAGACCGACCGCAGTTGCTCGTTCCCATTACGTCCGACACCTCCTCCTCTTTGTCCGCTCTTCTTAAGCCCTAAACCCTACGGATCGGGCAAGTCCCTCTATCCTAAAACCTAGCTTATCCTATCTAACTGTCTCAGAAGTTGAAACTCTATGCTTAGCCTTCCGCTATTGCTGTCTTACCTATACCTTTTGAATACCTCTGCAATACCCAAAACTCTCGTTGCTTCTTGTTTGATCCGTCTATCTTTCAAAGCAGTGGAAACTCAGCATCAAGCCTGCTAATGTTGCTATCTTCCCTTGGAGCAAAACCCTCTTTTGAAAATTTTATGTTAGCCCCTTGGCTTGCATTGGGTTTTGCTGGGCCTGCGTGCGAATTCTCTTCCATTGTGCCCGGATTTCTGTTTCCACTAGATTGTAGAGTGTCTCCTTCGCTTCTTGCCTGTGCATTTGCTTGTTTCCGATGGTCTGCTGTCATCCGCGCTTCCATAGTACGTATTGCTTTATAAGCTGGAATGTGCGCTTCTGGTACTGAGGCCCGACCGCAGGAGGGTCGCTTCCTATCAGAAGCGTCTCTTCGCCCTCGGGAAAGGGGAAGTCCACGATTTTAGTCCAGAGTGACTTGGCCACGTCCCATAGATGTACTGCTTCTGGGCAAGAGAGGAGACAGTGACGCAAGGTCTCCAGTACTCCTTTCGTGCATTGTGTGCACTGTTGACTGGAGGGATCACAGTGGTGTTGACTGCGACGCTCAAAAAGCCATGAGTTGACCGGGACTGCCACGTGGAGGATCAACCACTGCAAACTCCTTACCTTACTTAAGCGGATCTGGTGTAAGTATGACCATGGTAATCTTGCCATGTTTTCCTTCGGCACCTGCATTCTCTTCTCCAATCTAAGTGCCAAGGGTTCAGCTAAGGGCGATGAGCGCTTCCTGAGTCTGTAGCCCAGCTTGATTGTATAGTGCAGTATGTTGGTTCTTCTCGTTATGCCCAGTGAGCCCCCCCTGAGGTTCCAGGCCCACTCCACCGGGTCAATCTCCAAGTTCTG